GATGACCTGACTTTCCATAGACAAAAAAATTTCCCTTCTTCTTGAATGTGGTGTTAGATCCATTGGAACGAGAATTTTTAAAAATAACTTTCTTATTATAATTAGGTTTTTTCTCGTACCTTTTTGGAGTTGGGTTGTCTTTTATCATATTTGCCTTAGCTGATAATGCATTAACCCTTGTAGCAGCACACTCCTTCCGGTTGGTATCTTCGATGATGATGTGCGTGATCAGATCTACTAGCGACATCTGTTTATGTCTATGCTTTTGTTGTTTGTAGTCTGTCCAGAATTCTGGAAGTTTTTCGATTAGAAGTTCTGAAACGAACTCATCAGGTAAGACTATGTTTTCAACTTTAATATCTTCAAGTAGTTTGTGGTACTCGTTGATTTGGATCTTGATATCCTTGTCTTCTTGCATCTCCCAGCGGTAGTAGTTTCCAATAACAAACCTTTGTCTCACGACATCTTCGGTAGTGTATTTGAGAATCAATGAATCCCAAATATCTTTGGCTTCCTTATAGGAATAATACACATCAAACAAATCATTAGACAATGCACTAAGTAAGGTGTGTCGACATACCTTGTTCGAATGAACCCAATCTTCAGTTTGTTTAGTAGGAGCACTGGAGTCAAGTTTGGTAACTGTAAGAGCAGAAGCCACTCCATACATGTCTAAGAGAGTAGAAATATGTTCTTGCCAGCGACAGAAGCACTAGTACAGAAATCACTTTTAACATCGGTTTTTCCACATCGGTTCTTTAAGAACCGATGTAGAAAGTGAATTCAAGACTTTCAACATTGGTTTAGTTAGGAACCGATGTAGAAAACACTTTCTACATCGGTTCCCAGATGAACCGATGTAGAAAACACTTTCTACATCGGTTCTCAGATGAACCGATGTAGAAAGTCTTTTTATAAAATTAAGAGAATTGTTACTGGCAGGATTCGAATCAAGTACCTTAGAATTAAAGACTAATACTCTAACCACTAAACTACTAGGGTTTTTGGATAATAACTTATAAATAAATTATATTTATATACAAATAAAAATGTATATCCATGTAAATATATATATATATATATAATATAAATATAAAATATATAAATACAAATACAAATATATTTATATATTTATATGTTGGATGTGAGAGCGCTCGAGAGTGAAAGTGTGTGTCAAGTGGGTTTTCAAAATTTGATGTCAAATTTGTGAGCGAGTCTCTTTATATGAATTTGTAATTTAATAATAGAATATAATCTTTAAAATTTATTTATAATAATATAGAATATAATCTTTATAATTAATTATATAATGATATAAAATAAAGAAAAAAAATTATTTTATATCATTATATAAATAAATTATAAAGATTATATTTTGTCATTAAATTATAATCCATATAAAGAGACTCGCTCACAAATTTGACATCAAATTTTGAAAATTCACTCGACACACACTTTCATCCTCGAGCGCCCTCACATCCAACATATAAATATATAAATATAAATATATTTGTATTTGTATTTATATATTTTATATTTATATATTTACATGGATATACATTTTTATTTGTATATAAATATAATTTATGTATAAGTTATTATCGAGAAAATCCTAGTAGCTCGATGGTTGGAGTATCGACCTTTGACTCTAAGGTACTGGGTTCAAATATAATAAAAGGGAGAAGAGACCTCTAGATCAATAGATAGGATAATTAGAGAGGCGTTATGAATAAATAAAATAAATAAAAATATTAGACTTTCTGGAAAGAGAGGCGTTATGAATAAATAAAATAAATAAAAATATTAGACTTTCTGGAAATGTTGTTTGTCTTTTCCAGTGTGGAGTTGTTGTTAGTATCCATATTATCAGCCATAAGTCCTTATGATTGTTGTAAAAGCTGACAGAAACACAAACAAACTTTATTCCTGAAGCATGTATAAGCACTGCTCTTAAGGACTTATTCGCGGTGTATTACGCAAGACCCCCAGGATACAACAGGAACTTCTCGGAATATCCAGAAAGAAGATTAGAGAAAAGAAGATGAGAGATGTGTTTCTGAAGAGTGTGAAGTGGTCTCTATAACTTGTGGGAACACGTTCTAAGTTTTACAATACTCCTTAATTTACAACAAGATTATCATTGATGTAAAAAGTGAATAGAGTTCTAAATATCACATGAAATTTTATAATTTTTAGAAAATAGTTTAGGAACTCGTGGATTAGTTATTTATTAAAGATACTTTAAAGAATATTTAGATAAGATACTATCATAAGAAAGAAAGAAAATTACATATATATTGTGTATGATTTTATATTTTACAAAATAATGTTAGTCCAAACTTATATAAACCATTGATGATAGATGTTTTGATTAGGTACAAAATAAGTTCTTTTAAGAAATATTAGCATCTAGTAAAAAAGGTTTACAAAAGTTGTAAGTGTATATTCATGTGAGGCTTGTATCAATTAATTAGTTTATATGCATATTTTATAGGATGCATATAAATTACGAATGAATAATAAGTATGCATATTTATGTATTATCTTATATGGATAATCTCTTTTCATGTTAAAGAGACTATGTCAAAGATACCTTGAATCCAATGAATGCATAATTTGATATATCTTATGTACAAAGTGTTGTCATTATTTATTTGATAAAGATGAAGGTTAATACTTATGTATCACCTAGTATTTGAGATGTATGTTAATACATGTTTATTCATACATCATCTACTCTTTCTACATGATCTTGAAACATAGTCTTAAATAAATATATGACTTGTTATATGCTTATTATTTAAGAATGTAATTCTATACATGATTAATACATGTGTCATCTATTTGTATCATCTTTAATATTTGTTGTATATTGATTAAAATCTATCTACGTGGAAAATGTTTTTTTTTTACTTGTTAAGAATTATAAAATAACCTATTTCAGTGAAATTTTTTAAAATAACACTGTAGGTTTTATGTTTTTTTTTACTTGTTAAGAATTATAAAATAACCTATTTCAGTGAATTTTTTAAAAATAAAACTGTAGGTTTTATATTGGACCCGACATAAAAGTCAATTTTTATGTCAGATGATCTCTTAACTGACAATGACTTTTACATTAGTCTTTATAAAATCCAACATAAAACTCATGTTTTCTTCTCATGTAGGATTACTTTCTTCTCGCGCACAAGGGTTTTTGAGACAATAACGGTGACAACACCTACATTATGTTCTATTTATAGTGGTTGACATTTCTTTTTAATTAAATTCGAGTTTTAGAGCGTCCTGTGTATATTTGAGGTTGTTGTTCCATATCTCTAGTTTTATGTTTAAATTGAATCCGTGATTTTTTTAAGGATTCTCAATCACGATATTACATGAATGTTTTCACTGTATTTTTATTAAAATTGAACTGTTATTATTTATGGTTGTTTGTTTATTCGTTTGAGTACTTCTACAGTTTATACATTGCATATTATTATTTTTCCACGGTTTATTTGTTTGTGTCTTACGTCTTTTGTTGTTTATGTATTATTTTTTGTTTAAGTATGAATATGTGTTTGAGTCTCTCAGAATGACAAAATTTATAACATAGGTAGTTATGGACCGAAGTTAGATGAATGCACGTCCTATTAATGAAGAGTTCAAAAAAGGAGTTTATAATTTTTTGCAATTTGTTTGTGAAAATGGAAAATATGTTAAAGAGACATATTATTGTTCATGCATTTGTTGTTTGAATTAAATTTGTGACAAACTTATGAATATATGTGATCATTTGTTTGTCTATAGTATTGTTAAGAATTATATAATATGAATAAAGTCGTTTATGAAAGTAATATCTTGAGTAGAAGAAGCAAATAAAAAAATTGCATTTCATTTATCCCAAAGTTAAAAAATTATTGAGGCCATAATTATTGTTATACAAACTTTTGAAAATAACATTATATTTTATCTCCTATTTGCATGAGAGTCATAATTTTTAATAATAGTTAAATTTATTTACTTTTACCAGTATTGTATGTTAATGACATTTAAATTATTGTTTGATTCAAGTATTTCAAGATTCATCACCATTATCTGAAAATGATATTACACAAATAAAGGAGCAATGAACTAGGTTTTTCTTTCAAAAATTTATGATATTTGTGAACTTTGTAAATGTAGTTAGTCTTGTGTAATTTATGTTAATTTTGTTGTATTTAGTAGATATTTAAATTTTTTATACCTTAGTTAGATAATATTGATGTACTTTAGTACTTATATATAATTATGTAATACTCGGATTGTTGAATCTCTATATATTAATATTTTTTATACATGTTTTAGATGTTAAATAAAAACATAACTCAATACAAAAAAAAGACCAAAATTTATGTTGGATGGAGCATATTACGTAAATTTACGTCGAACCTTATATCAATAAATGTAAATTTATGTTTGTTGGGTGTAGATCCAACATAAATTTATGTTGCATAACACACCACCAATGTAAATTTTGACATTTATTTTAAATTTTATCAAACTTTTTTACGTTTGTTCTGTATATTTGACATAAATTTACGTTAATTCTTCTAGGTAAATTTACGTTTCTTATATTTTCTTTAAATCTTAAATTAACGTAAAAAGTAAAAAATAACAAATATAAATTCATTTAATTTGCTTATTGTTATACGGAGAACATGTTTCTAAAAAGGGAAAAAAAAATCAAATCTAATGTTCAAAATCTAAAAGCAACTACAAAATCAAAATGTGGAAATCGAGAAAAGATTATGACTTATAAGAAATCGGAAATGACATCTTCATGATAAAATATGAAAAGTGTTTTTGTCAAGGATAAGAATAAGAGTAAGTCTTAGAGAAAACCTGGGATTGTAATGTATTTAATTTTGATCTTCTCTTCACATTTGTTAGAACGATCTAGACGTAGATAATTATCCAAAGTATCCATCTTATGAGAAGATAAAGTTAAGTTCTAGAGAAAATTTGAGTACGGTAGTTACCATTTATATCCAAACACTTTGTTGTGAATGAGTCTAAAGAGAGTTGAGAAGAGAAGAATGTTTATGTAAAGTGTGTATTGGTAAGGAATAATAGTTTGTAAAGCCTAATAAGACTTGGTATAAAGAATAAATTTGTGTAGTAAAACTTTGAGAAATTTATCATACTATAAAGTTTAAGTTTGGATAAACTTATCCGAGGAAAAATTGTATATTAAAGCTTGAAAAAGATTATATATAAAAAAAAACTCTAATAATAAGGAAGAGTGATAATAAAAAGAATTTGTATTATAATGTTGCTAGTAAAATTTTACATATTATTAAAAATTAGATATAATTTGGTGAAATCAATACAAAAATATGGTTATTTATATTTTTTTTCATCTAAGTTATGTTCAAGACTATTTTGTTTAAAAATAAAAATGTTTTAATCTTATTTTTCGTTAAATATTTAACATATTATCCATTTTGAAATCATTATTTATTATTATCCTTAAAAAATATATTAATAAATTAAAAAAAAAAAAATATATATATATATATATATATATAAATTATCATTAACTTCAACTTTTTAAAATAATATACTAAAATACTTGATAAAAATAATTTAAAAAAATTATCATATAATATATTTTATATTAGAACACAAAATTCTACATAAAGTCTATTATTTTATAAAATTATTAAATTCATATAATCTATCCTTAATATATTAATAAAAGATTTTTAAATTCATCCAAAATACAATTCAACTTCTCTTTTTGTATTTTTCTTATTATACCTATCGGAACAAAGTTTGTCTATATCCTAATACATTTTGAAAAAGATTTGTAAAATTCACCAAAAATACAATTTAATTTCTCTTGTTTTTTTATTATAAAGATTGGTATGAAAGTTTGAAGAGATTGGTAGTGACAAGAAGAAAAGATCAAGAAAACCACATAAAAGAACAATTCACATGCACTCAAAGAACACCAGTACAAGAAGATTTCACAACACATCAAGATCAAAAGCATAATGTAATGATAAAGTTTACAACATAGCAAACTGAACAACAATTTAAGATTCAACCTTCAAAGAAGCAAGAAAACGAAGTTGAGAAATACTGCATATATTCTCATGTAACGTAAAAGCTTTTATTGATGTATCAACTAGGAAAAACGACAATATAAAATTGTATTTTTCAAAGGATAAAACAACAATATCTTAAAAACAGTTCTAAATATCCCTGAAAAAGGATAGCCCAAAACCGCTTTGGCTTTTCACACGAAAAAGGAAAACTTCAAAGAGAAGCTTTTTCATCTTCCTCTTTCATAATTTTCGCAAGATTCTCCTGAAGAATTCAAACACCCTTTCACTCTCTTCTACATAGGATCACAGTATTGGAGTCACTGGTGGAATAAACACCTCATCCTTGTCTTCCTGTCATGCCATTTTGTGATGAACTACCACTTTTGAAATAAAAACATAAATTAAAGATATTGATCACCTTCCATGAACACATCTCATAATTTGTAATTTTCCTTTTTAACAAATTTTAGCTAGTATCACAAATTTTTAACTAGTAAATAAAAATGTACAAATAGATCATGCATTGTTATATTTCTTAATGTTTGACTTTTTATTTTTTTTTCCAAATTATTTAAAACATTTTATTATAATATTTTATTATTTTGAAAATAATTTTTTTTCATGTCCCTTTCCTTGTATAAAATTGATGCCACAAAATTTTTGAATTTGTTTAATTAGACACATTTTTGTGTCTAATTAATTTTTTAATGTATTATTTTATTTTATTTTTATTTTATTTTTTCTTTCTATTATTTAAATATATCCACTTTTTCTTTTTCTTTTTCTTTCTTATGTTTTTACTATTTTTTAAATATATAAATCATAATAATTATTTTTTCTCTAAATTATAATACCTATTTTTTTTATTTATAAAAAATAATAATTATAAAAGAAATCTCCTTTATATATAATTATAGATAAATGTGATATGAGAATTTGATTAAGAAGGTAATTGAGAATATTTTAAAAAAAATATTTGAGATAATTTATTTTCATTTTTCTTGTTAAGTTACTTATAAAAGTAATATTTACTAAAATTCTATGCACAAGATTTTAGCACCCTACACTCAACTTCAGTACAGCACTTGTATTTTGTTTTTTAAACAACATCGAATTGTTCTAATATCTTATAAATTTAAAATAATATAATTATATTTTGACCCATTTCATACTTACTATAATAGTTAATAAAATGTTTAATTATATTTTTAGTTTCTAAAATTTGAAATGATTGTCCAATAATTATTAAAAAAATGATTTTAATTCATAAACACTAACCTAAGGTAAATTTTAAATCTTAAATCTTAAATAAAGAATTCGTTTTAATTTCTCAAACCATATTTTTATCAATTTGAAACATTAAAAGTTATTACCAGAATTATCCAAAATTTTCAGAATTAAAAATAAAATATTAAATAAAAATTAAACCAAATAACAATATTGTCATGCTTTAGTTATATATGATCTGATTGTCAATTTTCAATATTAAATGGAAAGCAAAATATTTTGAACATTTATACTTAAGGTTTCAAACAATTAATAGGTCGTTCCCATTATTCTCCGGTTCTCTCATTGAAAATCTGATACACAGCACAGCCTTTGATCATGATTTTAACCCTTATCAATAATTAATGCATTTTGAATTATGTTTACACCATCGAAAATGAACTAAATTTATTATTAATGGACGAAATATGCTCAAGGATACTATCCAACCAATACTTAATCCAACTTTTGTTATGCTGAAATATTCAGTAATTACAACCTTTTTTATAATAATTATGGCCCCCTATGGTTAAAAGGGAGAAAGAAGAAAATGTTGTAAGAAACAATTCTCACAGTACCACAAAAGCAGAAGAAAAAAAAATGCGATTCACGAGAAATTACATCCTGATGGCGTCCCTTCATTTGTGTTGGTTGGGGGTGTCAGGAAATTACACGTTCACTCAGTTTTAGTATTATTGGTTGGTTCTACCAACTTCGGCAGAAGAAGTGTCCATATCATTCAGCCCTAATTCCTCATTTTGTTCCCATGACCTCTCGTACTCCTCAACTGGAGACATACCAGTGTCAACCAAATTGCCAAACAGATAACCACAAGACATGAATATATATTTACATGATAAACTATGCATCACAGTCTACATAAGACAACAATATTAAAAAAGAATCAGAATCATATTTACACATACGGGGACCCATTCATCACACGAATCCAATTATGCAGGATGCAGGCTACTCGGGGCAATGTCTGAAATAAACATATTTCTGTTTGTTTGTTTACATGATGGTACTATACTGGATTCAAGATCCCCAGCAACTCCAATAGTTGAATCAAATCATACATGTTAAGGAATAAAAAATTTACTTTTTTCCCAGTAATGAACACAAGGAATGAACAACCTCATCCAGTTATATAATCAATCATAAAATGTTAAAACCACATCACTATACAGGGAAACTGCACAAAGAATCAAACCGAAGGCATGAATATAATTTCTGTAAAAGAAGACAGAAAATTATCATTTCAATAACGACTTCAAATGATGGTGCAGAATGAAATAACTTCATTCATAGGGGTATTAAATTATCCAGAATACGAGATTGAAAATTCATTAATAGTCACAAACCTCTACTTTAAATTTATACTGCAATCTCTGGATATGACTTTTCAACATTCCATATGCATTACAGAAAAGGAAAAAACTAGAAACATCTCTCATATCTATGATGCCAAAGATAGGGATAATGAGTGGAATTAGTATCAAGATGGAAATGGAAATGGAAATGAAAATGTGATAAAACAGATATCGACAATCAACTCAAAAAATATGAATTGTATCTGCACAAAGTATAGCTTGATGTCTGAGTTGAAAAACTTACAAGCTAATTGATTGTCCTCTTTCAGATCATCAGTTGCAGGTGCTACAAAAGAATTGGCTAATGCATCATCAAGAATTAGAGTCCAAGGTTCTTCCAAGCTCAGAAGCTACATAAAATGAAAGGATGCAGATTAAAAAAAACTGGGATCGAAGACCTTGAATCAATTTAAATAAGTCAAATGAATGCCTTCAATTCAAAGACAGATAGTCTGCAGCTGCAATTTATTAGTTGATGATGACAGAGAAACAACCAACAAGTTATGTAACCCAAAAGTAGCAAGGAATATGACCACAGGTCTTTGTAGAATGCATGTGGTTAAAACTCCCTGGAATCTTTTCTTTTTGTGATTCATTTCTTTTTTATGATAAAATTTATAAACCTAAGGAGTAGAAAGAAGTACAAAACAAGACAACATATCCTCCTAAAAGAGAACCAGAAATACAAGACAAGACCATTTTAAAAATACAAATAAATTTACAATGCCTTATGCCATCTATTTTGCTTCTCTTCCTTCTTTAGCCAACAGAGGCAAAACATTATGTAAAGAAATAGCAAGAATTGCAATAATAATCTGATAAATAGAATTATAAAGTAATATGTTAGATATGATTAGATATTAGTTGATATTGTTTGATATTGTTGAGATATTGTTAATCACAATATCAAATAATATTTTTTATTTACCCTATTTGTATTCTGTTACTCTTTTGAGGAGTACCTTTCTTTATTATAAATACACTGCCCTATGTGTGGTAAACACATAAGGGAAATTAACCCTATACAATTTTTTCCCTATATTCAACATGGTATCAAGAGCTTAAGGTCTCTTGGGATTTTTTTTCGGCTCTGCCACTGAACCTGCAGCTGTCACCGCCTCCGCCGCCGCCGGAGTAGCAGTTCGGACCGCCGAGCACAGGGTTTTGCTCGCCTCCTCCGTGCGACCTCCACCGTGGAAGTTTCGCGGTCATCGAAGCAGCCACGCTCCCTCACGCGCCTCCCGAAGCCGCACCTCCTTCTCCCGTTCCGCCGCACGTGGCAGCGCGTCTCGCCGCCGTTCAGGCCGCCGCTCTTTGCGTCGGCGTCGCCTCCTTCTCCTCTCTCTGGATCTGTCCTCGCTGCTCCAATCGGACCTCTTTGGTGTTTTAGGGTTTTTCTCTCTCTTTCTCCATGGCATCTTCCGCTGCCACTTCCAATTCTGAAGTTACCTCTGTCAGCTCCGGTGGGTCTGAGCAATCTGTTTTTACTAATTATGTCAATGTGAATTTATCCATTGATAAATTAGATGGTACGAATTATGCAACTTGGGCATCTGATATTAGACTTTGGCTTGAGAGTCAGGGGTATGTTGATCATCTTACTACCAAGGTAGATGATGTTCCTTCCAATGATCGTGTCCATTGGAAGAAAGTCGATGCTCATATATGTATGGTTCTCAAGAATACCATCCAATCTTCTTTAAAACAAATTTTTCGATCGTATGGCACATGTTATGACGTTTGGGAACAAGCCAAATTATTATACACCAATGACACTCAACGTCTTTATGGTATTTGTTACAATCTTCTTGATGTTATTGCTCCTCGAGATAAGGATCCTGTGGCGGATTATGTGGGTAAGATCCATGCTCTTCTCCATGAATTTAATGAGTTATTACCCCCTGCCTCGACTCCTGCCCAAGAATTAGAGCAACGATCAAAGATTTTCATGGTTTTGATGTTACACGGACTTGCTGATAAATATGCCCCTGTTCGTGATCAGATTTTGGGTTCCCCTGTTACACCCAGTTTTACCGCTACCAGTTCCTCCCTTTTGCGGGTGCCATGTAAACCTCTCAATATTCCCCCTGTAGTTTCTAATGATTCATCTGCCTTGGCCTCTCACCGTGATGATCGTAATCGCTCTCACAAGCCGGGCAAAGGGCGTGTCAAGTGTGACCATTATGGCAAACTAGGCCACAAAATTGACAAATGTTATGCTTTACATGGTTATCCTCGCCGATCTGCTGCAGTTGCTCGGGCTGATTCTTCGCACAATCCTCTGCTTGTGGATCCTCCTTCGAGACAAATCTGCTATCTTCAATGATTTTCTTCAATGGTATGAGGATCGAAAGCCCTCCGGTTCCACTACTTCATTGCCCACACGAGTACATCTTTTCTTGGTCGACTCACTCTTCTTCTATTGGCTCTTGGGTTCTTGACTCAGGCGCCACCGATCACATCACTCGGTAACAAATCCTTATTTTCCTCTTTCACTTCTTCTCATAATTTACCCTCCGTTACAATGGCTAATGGGTCTACAACTTTAGCTCATGGTGTTGGACGGTTACTCTTTTTCCCTCGTTGTCCATTGATAATGTTTTGTATGTACCGGGTCCCCCTTTAACTTATTATCCATTAGCCAGTCTAACTCGATCTCTTGATTGTGTTATCTCTTTTACCAAAACTTCGTTTCCTTACGGGACCGGAGCTCGCAAAGAGTGATTGGCACCGGATGTGAGTCACATGGACTTTATTATCTTCAACCTTCTCCACATGTTGGCACGGTTATGGAGTCTCCTTCTCTCCTTCATGCTCGGCTTGGTCACCCCGGTCTGCGCAAATTACGGCAACTTGTTCCCGGCTTATCCCGGTTGTCCGAGTTTGGTATGTGAGTCACGTCGGTTAGGCAAACATAGTCGTACTTCTTTTCTCGTAGTGTTTCCCAGCGTGCTTCATCCCCCTTTGCCTTAGTTCACTCGACATTTGGGGACCCGAGTCGTGTTAAGTCTAATTTAGGTTTTCAATATTTTGTTACTTTTATTGATGATTTCTCTCGTTGTACTTGGTTATTTTTAATGAAAAATCGTTCGAGTTGTTTTCTATATTCCAAAACTTTTATCATGAAATTAAAAATCAATTTGGTGTCTCTATTCAAACTTTTCGAAGTGATAATGGCCGTGAATATCTTTCAAACTCGTTTAAACAATTTATGGCTTCTCATGGCATTCTTCATCAAACTTCCTGTGCTTATACCCCTCAACAAAATGGGGTGGTTGAGCGCAAGAATAGACACCTTATTGAAACAACCCGTACTCTTTTAATTCATGGTGCGGTTCCTCGACATTTTTGGGGTGATGCTTTGTTCTTACTTGCTGTTATCTTATTAATCGTATGCCCTCTTCGGTTTTAGATAACAAAATTCCCCATTCTATTTTATTTCCTCCTGACAATCTCCATCCTTTACCTCTGAAGGTTTTTGGGACTACTGTTTTGTCCACAATTTTGATCCTGGTCATGATAAGTTATCTCCTCGATCACACAAATGTGTTTTCTTAGGATTTACTCGATCCCAAAAAGGATACAAGTGTTTTTCTCCTTCTCTTAATCGCTATTTTGTGTCTGCAGATGTCACCTTCAATGAGTTTTCCTTTTACTTTAAGGACCCTTCCCTACTTGCTGAGTCTCCATCTGCTACGGTTCCCATTCCTGTTCTCATTGATCCTTATGTTGAGGACCATCCACCATTAGCCCCTCCTCCTCCACCACCCCTTCGGGTTTATAGTCGCGAGACCTCGCCCACAACAGACGCCACATGACTCACTCCCGGTGCCAAATACTCTGCCTCCTCCGGTTCAGTCCACGAGTCGACCTTCCTATTGCCCTTCGTAAAGGTACGCGTTCTACTCGTAATCCTTCTCCACATTATACTTGCTTTAAGTTATCATCGAATTTCTTCACCATTTTATACCTGTCTCTCGTCTATTTCTTACGTGTCTATTCCTAAATCTGTCTCCGAAGCCTTAGCCCACCCTGGTTGGCGTCGAGGCCATGCTAGATGAACTCGGTGCTCTTCGGACTAGTGGAACCCGGACGCTTGTCCCATTACCATCTGGAAAATCTGTTGTTGGTTGCGGGTGGGTCTTCGCTATCAAGGTTGGTCCTGATGGTACTATTGATCGCCTCAAAGCTCGCCTTGTAGCCAAAGGCTATACCCAAATTTTTGGGTTGGATTATGGTGATACTTTCTCTCCAGTGGCAAAGATGGCTTCGTTCGTTTATTCATTGTCATGGCTGCTACTCAACAATGGCCTCTTTATCAATCTGGATGTCAAAAATGCTTTCTTGAATGGCGATTTGCAAGAAGAGATTTATATGGAGCAACCTCCGGATTTGTTGCTCGGGGGAATCTTCTGGATTGGTATGTCGTCTTCGCAAATCTTTATATGGCCTAAAACGAGTCTCCTAGGGCCTGGTTTGGCAAATTTAGCGACGTTGTTCAACAATTTGGCATGACTAGAAGTGAGGCGAGACCACTCGGTCTTTTACCAGTCACTCGAATGCTCTGGATGTATCTATTTGATAGTGTATGTCGATGACATTGTTCTTACAGGTAGTGACCATCATGGCATATCTCGGATGAAACAACACCTTTGCCACCATTTTCAAACCAAAGATCTTGGCAAACTCGGATATTTCTTGGGTATTGAGGTAGCACAATCTACCGATGGCATTGTTATATCTCAAAGAAAGTATGCATTGGATATTTTGGAGGAAGCTGGGTTGATGAATTCAAATCCTGTTGACACACCAATGGATCCTAATACCAAACTCTTGCCAAATCGGGGGAGCCAATGTCGGATCCCGAACGAGTATAGAAGATTAGTTGGAAAATTAAATTATCTTACGAGTTACTCGCCACGACATTTCCTTTGCGATCGGTGTGGTGAGTCAATTCCTCAATTCTCCTTGTCAAGATCATTGGAATGCGATCATCCGTATATTGAAGTACATCAAAAAGTCTCCTGGAAAAGGTTTGGTGTATGACTCCCATAATCATACAAGAGTTGTCTCGCTATTCGGATGCTAATTGGGCGGGATCTCCCTCGATAGAAGATCTACATCTGGGTATTGTGTTTCCATTGGTGGTAACTTGATCTCATGGAAAAGTAAGAAACAAAGTGTTGTGGCAAGATCCAATGCGAAGCGAGTATAGAGCTATGGCCTCGGCTACCTGTGAACTTATTTGGCTCAAGCAATTGCTTAAAGAGCTACAATTTGGAGATGTCACTCAAATGACACTAGTGTGTGACAATCAGGCTGCTCTCCATATAAGCTCTAATCCTGTCTTTCATGAGAGGACTAAACACATTGAGATTGACTGCCATTTTATTCGGGAAAAGAATATGTCTGGAGACATCAAGACTGAGTTCGTTAACTCATGTGATCAATTAGCAGATATTTTCACTAAGTCTTGACGAGGACCTAGGATGGATTATCTTTGTACCAAGCTAGGCACATACGATTTGTATGCTCCAGCTTGAGGGGGAGTGTTAGATATGATTAGATATTAGTTGATATTGTTTGATATTGTTGAGATATTGTTAGATATTGTTAATCACAATATCAAATAATATCTTTTATTTACCCTATTTGTATTCTGTTACTCTTTTGAGGAGTACCTTTCTTTATTATAAATACACTGCCCTATGTGTGGTAAACACATAAGGGAAATTAACCCTATACAGTTTTTTCCCTATATTCAACACATAGAATTATAAAGTAATACATAGGAGAAATTTAAACTATATCTGATAAATAGTCACGTGTTACCTTGTTTAGCCTTGCTTTAAAGTCGATCCACTTGCTTCTTCTATTTTCTTCGAGACTATCCCCAAAAGTAAAACCATGGACCCTCTCAAGGCCTGTACATGCAAATCACACAAAATTATATTCCACATTGATACATTATACCAAAAATGAAATAGATTATAACAAAAAAATAAATCAAACTACAGGATCAAGAACAACATAAACATGATATAGGAGAACAGTTTAACCTCCACCTGTTTTCACACAAAACAGATACAAATTTTGCATTTAACTTTTAAATCATATTTGAAATAGATTATACAAAATTAAAGAAATAAAAAATGATGTTCAAGTGGTTGAAAATTGTAAGATTTATTGAAAAGAAAAATGTCCTAGATGACTCCCAATTCTACTGCCTAGATTAGAGTTTATGTGACTGATAGAATGCATACTTACTTTCACTAATTCTTGTAATTAAACCTTCAACAGTTGTAACTATTCCTCCAAGGGTTCCGCTTGCCAGCTCCAAATCAAGTTCCGGAACTTTTACACTTGCAGTATCAGACTAATGAAACCAAAATACTAAATCAATAGATATAGATATAAAATATATAGATCTCAAATTGCATAAAATAATGTTTAAAAGGTCAGGTTTATATGGGCACCATCATGAGATTTTTCACAGGTTATCTTCTTTACAAGAATGACCTGTATGTGTATCATTACAGCTTTTAATACATAATTGAAAACAGAACATGTTGAAGTTAATGTTTCTAGGTCATATCTTGATTAAACGTAATTTCAGTGTTCTGATAACCCCAAAATGTGAATCTGATTCTTTAAAATGCTACAGTTTCATCCAAGTGAGATGTCAAAATAAATTGAAGAGTAAACCCAAAATTAAAGTAGCACTGCAGGAGTTCTCATTATTAGTTTTTTTCTTTAGTTACTTTACACTTCATGCAAAAAGTTTTGGAAGCTTACATTTTCCCTGCATTTGAAGGATATAACCTCAAAAACAGAAGTCCAAAGTACCTTCTTTTCTAATGAGATTTCTTTTACTGATCCTAATTTGTAGTAATTACAAGTAAGAAAAAAAATATATGCTCTCTAAATGCAAGGATAAACCACAAGATTCATTATTCATCACTAACATACCTTTATTACATAAATTAACAAACTGATGGCTTGAGATTAGTTAAGATCCATGATAGAATTACATACCTTTATTACATCACGGCTCAGGTCATTAACATTCTTCACAGAAAGTGTAATTTTTTTTCCTTTTTCAGGAATTCGTCCACCAGGTTTCAACTGCAAGGTGAAGAACTATATTTATCCCAGCCCACTAAAGACAGAAATACACTAAAAAATCAGCATATACCTCAGAGTTGCGATAACCACAGGCATCACATGTGGATGCCATAACAATTACTTCTTGGAAGTAAGGAATATCTGTCCATTGTTAAGCTCAACAGTGTGTCGAAGAAATAACAAAGACATGTTCATGCAGACTCTGCCAGCAATATAAAATATAAAAGTGGTACATGGCATATTTTTAAAGAATATGACGCTGTTATCCAATAAGCAAATAAATATTATCTGGTCTTTACCCAATCAGCAATCGGAATACAAGTCAACCTTGTTAACAGGTGTTTAATTTTAAGATTAATGTTTTGTAGTGTAAATCTATAGCCAACTTTGTGATATTCAAAAACAAACATATTTTCAGGCTTTTTAATAGAACACATGGTTGTCAAAAAAATTCTGCAAACAAAAGAGATGACACTAAAGCTTCAAGTACCGACTTAAATACATGAAACATTGAATCAAAACCAATGTTGAAATAAAGATAAACCATCCCCTATAGTTTATTTGATTTCAGTTTTCTGCGTGATTAAAGTTTCAAATTTCAACCGATCAAACATGGAATAAAAAAGTTGAATTAAAAAAAAAAAAAATAGCCCCTATAGTTTATATAATTTCGGTTTACCCCACAAAAATCTGTACTCTCTCTTGCATACATATAGTGTATGTCCTTTTCCAATAATTTTTAAATTATAATTGCCATTAAGCTTAATATGACAGAATCCTTCTACATAAATGTAATATAGTCAAACAATCCCAAGGGGAATATGAAAATAGTAAAAGGATACTGGTGACAAACATTCGAGTCTCACACCTCGCAGCACAGGCACCACAAGAAGATGGGAAAGTCATAACCTGTCCAGAACATGCAGCAATTTGGCACTGAATGAACACATAAAAAAACTCCAAAGCTCAGTACACATAAGTATATAGTTCAACAATTCATACTTCTTCTGGGGCAGTATATCGAAACAAGGATTCAGCAATTTCTGCACTGTTACTCTGTGCAATGGCTCGATGGCCAGCTGTTGCCCCTATTGATCCATGAGGCTCTCTTCCCACTTGATCAGTATTCACAGCATCTCTCCCTTCAAGGGCATCACCATGAGTTCCTTCAATCTGTGTGGAATCGACAAGGTATCCCAATGATGCTTGCTGCTCAGCAGTTCTCTCATAAAACTTGATCGACAATGATGGATCAGATGACGGTGCAAACCTATTCAATATGTTCTCCATTTATTTAAAATAGTAGCAGTAAACAGTGGGATTCATATTAGCAAATACCAATGGGCTCTGATGCCCCGATTCGTTGGCAAGCCCAACGTATCCATATCGGATACATATTCGATACCGATTCACCTTGATACTTAAAATAAAAAATTCATATCGAAAAAAAAAATCCAAACAAAAATAAAAACAAGAATAACAAATATTTTTCTGTTATAATTACTGTTAAATTAATCAAAACAGACATGGAAGTTATTATTTAGAGTAACATTATCTCTTGATGAACCAGACATAGAAACTGTTTTATTTACTAATGATCCTCAAGGAGGAGATAAAATTAATATTATTTCTATTTCAAACAATAAGTAGTTATGGTTAACTTTTATTTTACATTTAAATTTTTTTAAAGTCATATATACATTTAAAAATATATTTAATATTTAATATTTTTTTATGAATTATATGTATATATATATATACACACATATACGCACACTTATCTTAAAGATATCATATCTTATATTTTTTAATATAAGATGAATCGCTGTATCGGATTCGTATCATATCTATGCATCATAGCCAGTGGGATTGCCTAACCAAAAAATACAGTTAGTTTTTTCTTGACTGATTTAAAATAAGCTGAAAGATACACTATGATAGGATTCAGAAATGCATTTATCCAATTCAACAGTCCATCAAGCAACCAAAATACACTCTAAAAAACATTTCAAAATAATCAAGTTCCCTAATCTTTCTAGGATGCAATATGAAACTCACTTTTACTCTCTTCTAAAAGGGTATGTCACAAGGTAGTCAAAATCGCGAGTTGAAGCATAAGATCGCATGTATTTGTGATCTTTGTCACCTTCTCCAATTCGTGTGTCCTTTAGATCACTTTTTCAATGAATAGTAGAATCGTCGGTTGCAACAGCATGACACTCTTCTCCAAGTTCGCCTGCTGCACTTACAGTAACACTGTCGCTGGGGTGCAGCGGATGCGACATCGTCGCATAGGTGTGAAGGCAGTGTCCACATCGCATAAGTGTGGAGGTTGCAACTCTGTCATGTGGGTGCAGAAGCTACAACGATGTCAAGGGGTGTGGTGGTTGGGTCGTTGGGTTATGGGTGTAATGTAAGTGGGGTAGTGTGCAGCTTCCACATGTGACTAAGTATAATTAGGTTAAATCTCTTCACCAGCCCAACAATCCTAAATCTTAAAACCCAATAACTCAACCCAATCTCATCCCATTCACATAAAAATAATTAATGCACTACAAAGGAAGCCTCAATCAAAATTAATAAGAATGTCCACCTCTAAAATTTAAATATATAACATAAATTAATTTGATAAATGAAATATATGACATATATATTAATTTTATAAATTGTGTAGGATTTACAATTCATGTTACAATTTTCGATTTATACTACTCTTTCCGATCTTAAATAAAATCTCGATTTTAACTACCTTGGTATATTACTCCGATTCAAATCTCCTTTGTACAGCCTCCCCTTCTGATGAGGACATGATGAAGAGGAGATCACTTGAGGAATTCAAAGAGGATCCATACAATAGCTAGAGCCATGTTACATGAGAAGGAGAGACTCCATGAAGAACAAAACAACTATCAAGGGAGGATTACTAGAAGAAAGACTAAGCACCTCAATGAGAAGATTAAAACTAGTTGTCCTCTTAAAATAGAAAATCCTATCTTGTGTAGTGAAAATAAACAATTTCATTTTTTAGAAGTTAAATCACTGTTTGGCTATTAGGACAATGTTAATAGGAATAAAAACATTCTTTTAATGTACATCCCACATTAAAATAATATTTTTATCTTTAAGCAGCTCTTATAAGACCTTTTTTGGAGATGGTCAAAGTAACACAAGGCCCTTTGGCAGAGTGCTTTGATGTTTGCTGTTATTTGATATTTATGGTTTAAGAGGAATGCTAGAATATTCAATGAAAGTCTCCTATATTGGCATTTTTTATCCGTTAAAGCGGTGGTTTTCTAGCTTCTTTATTGTGGTCAGCTAATGGTAACTACAAATTATGACTTTCAATGGATATGCAAAGAAATTTGTGAGCTTTACTAAGATGAAAATGTACATCCCATATTAAAATAATGTTTATATCTTTAAGCAGCTCTTATAAGACCTCTTTTGGAGATGGTCAATCAAACAAAAGGCCCTTCGGCATAGTGCTTTGATGTTTGCTGTCATTTGATGTTTATGGTTTGAGAGGAATGGCTAGAATATTCAATGAAAGTCTCCTATATTGGCATTTTTTATCCGTTCAATGGTGGTTTTTTAGCTTCTTTATTGTGGTCAGCTAATGGCACCTACAAATTATGGCTTTCAATGGATACGCAAAGAAACTTGTGAGCTTTACTAAGATGAAAATGTTACCATTGAATGCTTTTTGCCATTTACTTGTACATGAAGATATGTTAGCCTCTATTTTTATAATTTCTTCTCTAATGAAACTACTTTTATTCATTTAAAGAAAAAACTTCAACAAGGTATAATGTCTTACGGGTTTTCAATGAAGCTGTTTCCGGCAGGATCATCAAGAATAAATCTGAAAGCTGATTCTCCTGTTGCACAGGAACGCAGTTTAACCAAGAACTGATCAATTGCTTCAGCTGTCTCAGGAGTCACTTTCTAAAAGGTAGAAAGTATAATAGTACGTTATTTAAAGAGAAACTCAGATATGAAACAATAATATAGTGCTGAAACAAATAGTACTTTGCGTTCTTCTTGAAGGGCCTGAAGTTCATCAGCTGCTCTCATAAGTATCCCTTCCACCTATAATAACAAAACAAATGATATTGTTGAATCATTTGACTAAAAATGTTCAACTATTCAATGTTAATGAATTTTCACAAAACACTCATTTAGAGCTCTCTGACACACAAAATTTACATTTCTAATTGTGGAAACTAAGAATAATATACATGTATGGGTATCATCCTTGCTACTAAGTAATGCATGCATATGGAAACTGCCAAAATTATGATCTGATTAAGAGTCAGGTTTAAAGCTTCAAAAATGTACCCAAAATGATGCAAACGAAAATCATGAGACTAGAAGAGGGCAATATTATCTTTTTAATTGAATTATTTTGATCAAACAGAAAGGACACATTGATATTTTTATTCACTAGATGATTATTCATACACAGAGTTACTTTAGCCATCTTAAAATAGAAATGCAGTGTTCAGAATTGAGATATTTTCACTAACAAATGAAATAACAAGCAAACCTGTGAATACTAGGGATGGGAAAATAAAGTAAATTGAAATATATATATATATATATATATATATCAGAAGTACCGTTGACAGACTACCACGCTGAGCTTCTGGAGGAATCTCAAAATCCAGTTCCGGTATCTGCATAATCAGACATAATTAATCGCTTAAGTTTTAGAATCAATAGAGACGACTCTTAAATTGCTTCATTCATAAAAATATCTAACAGAATAGATAGATAGATAGATATATAGGTAGGTAGATAAATATCAGCTAAATGAAGACTGTGTGGCTTGGCCCTAGACTTAAAATAGACAAGAACCATGGTGTCACTGAACTAAAGAATTTTCATTATTACAATCTAAATAGGAAAAGGAGTTAATGAGTTTAAATAAATATAATCTAAAGACAAATATACAAAACAAATTTGAGTACCTTAATGGTAGCAGATTCTGATTTAACCACTTGTCGATTTAGCATCTACATTCATTAAACTTGTCAGGAACTTGTATAAACAAATTATCACAATGGTAAACAAAAAAGACAAGCTTGCAATAAGGCTACTCCTGGAGGAGGTTCTGTTCCATGCAATAACACTTATCAGTTAGTAAAATTAGTTTCCAGTCAATTCTTAGTTTAATCATGCTACATGCATCAATGTTTTAACCAAGGACAATTTAACTTTTCATATTTCTTTCCCTATTTTGTATTACAAACATGCATATAATATTTATTTTCCCAAAAAGCCTCCTAGCTTTTTGACCATTTCTAAACCCAGTTTACATTTATAAACCCAGTTTGACCATTTCCTTTATAAACAAGGTAAGAAAAAGGGGAAGAAAAAGCTGATTGTAGTAAAAGGTGCAGCTGGTAATGGTCTAGGGCAACAAAGGCATCACAGATTGGAGTATGCAGTTGTGACAAAGGAAAGGTTTAATGGTGAAAGATGAAACGGAGAAGATCAGGAATGGTTTGGAAGGGCTTCACAAATGAGACCAAAGGGATTTTCCAGGGTCTGTTCAACTCATAGGATTGTATGATCCTACAAGGCAAATAGTAATTTTAACAACAATGGTCTTCTAGCTAAACATGGATAGGATTTTTTTTTTTTTAAAAAAAAAAAAAAAAAAAAGAGAGAGACATCAGCAAAAGTATGACAAATCATCCTTCAAACTAGGGCAGGTCACTAGTGTCAAGAACCTCAACATGGAAATTAACTGAATAGGAAGAAGATAGGTGATAAAGGCATTGGAGTACCTCCACTCAAGTCAGTATTGTATCTATCCTGACTACTACAACATATTTTAAAATTCATATAGGGGCTGTACAAGATTTCTTATGCTATATTATATATAGTCATTTTGGGATGGGGAGTTGAAATTTTAATCAACACAACCTTCTGTTCGCCTGACGGGATATCCAGAGTGTAACAACAACCACGCGGTTGAATTTCACCAGCAAACTGTACTTCATTGTTCCTAACAGATAAAATCAATAAATATAAAAGAAAAGAATTAACTTTTGAGGAAGATCAAAGGAACCAATTATGTTCAATGCACAGTTTTTAAGAGAATGGCATAGACTAAAGGGCCGTTTACCTCTCACCACAATGTGGACATTCAAAAGCTGACAACAAAATCTGCAGGAAAGGTAAATATGACAACGGGTTATATTTTCAGAAAGCTAATGGACAGACAAAATAAAAGAAACAGCAGATAAAAACAACAATATGTAATATGATCCATTATCTAAGTTGTGAATCAACAATGTTAATTCATTTAATTGATGTAACTAATAACATCAGGAAAAAAAAAAAAAAGTGGATGAAGCATAAACATAAGGAAAGACAGAAATAAAGATGAAATTTAAATGCCTATAGGATATATTCCAATACCTACTGATGAAGGATCAAGAACAGTAACCACTTGTCAATCACAAGAGCAAATGGAACCACACATAACACATACCTTTCTGAAGTGAGGAATTAAAGTCAATAAAAATCTTGTAATCCCCTGACAAACATGATAGAATGAAAGTCAGATGACAAGTTTAAGATTTAAATATTTTGGATAAAGCTACAACATTAAGGATTAGGTGCAATTGACTCATTTCTTAAGTAACAAATAACTGGAGCACACAAAATTATTTGTTTCATTGATTTTTAACGTGGCCATGCATAGAACACCAAAAAAAAATGACACACAAATAAAAAGTGAAAATATTCATTACTCAATTACTCAGGTAAAAGTTGCTTGTAACTAGATTAGTACCATCAAATGATAGCTTCCTTTATCCTAACTATTCATCTAGTATACTAACAAAAATAAGTTATTATTTCTTCAAAACTACTTCCATGCAGAAGACCACACAAATTCAGATATACCTTCAATTACGTCTCATGAACACCAATGAAGTTTAACCACAAACCCCCGTCCACCTCCAAACTGCTTGTGCAATGCATCAACCCAGGTGCTAAGTGCTAACCACACATGTGAAGTGCAACAACCCAATACATTGACAAAATAAATAGTTTCTCTAATGCAGGAGCAAACCAATTATGCACGTGCAGTGCATTCATCCGATACATTAAACAAAAAGTTTTGCTTGGGCCAAGCGCAAACCAATCCTACAGGTGCAGTGCGTCGATCTAATACGATGGACAAAACAAAAAAGTTTTGCCTGCACTAAGTGCGATCCAATTCTACATGCGCAGTGCATCGACCCGATGCATTAGATAAAACCAAAAAGTTTAGCTCGTGCTGACTATGAACCTATTCTACATGTGCAGTGCATTGACCCAACACAATAGAGAAAGGAAAATGTTTTGCTAGTGCTAAGAGCAAGCCTATTCCCCTTGTGCAGTGTATGGACCCTAATACAATAGATAAAACAATGTGACTTGATTGCTTGCGCTGAAGTACTAACTATTATACTTGTCCTATCCTTCAATATTCACAAAACGTATCCTTTGTTCCCCACTCATACACAATGAACTATTTAGGCAAATAATTTAATTAAGAGCTTAATTAAGTTCCCATGAAACTTCATATCATAAATTTGACTACTAAAAATCATTAAAATAAACTAAAAAATAACTTTATTGGCAAATTTCTCCCAAAAGCTTATGCTAAACAAATAGTACAATTACAAGTCATTTATACAAACTTCGGTAAAAAACTATATTATATCAGTTCAAACAGTGTAAGTTCGAACCGGTGTTAATACCACTCCACAGACCCAACTAAACGCATTGATGGATAAATTAAACACACCACCGACTCATAAATTAAACGCATTAAAGCATGATAAAAAAAACGAGGTGCATTATTGTTTAGAACATGACAAAGTTCACCGACTGATCAAGAGGGAAAAAGTGTATAAAAAATGGTGTACTGAATACAAATCAAACGCAGTGACGCAGGGAAATAAAAAAAAAAAACAAAAAAAAACAAGGTGCATTGTTTAAACTTCCCAACGTTTACCGAAGTAATTAAGAGGGAAGAGTATAAAAGTGTAAAAGTAATCGATTATTGAACATATAGTCTTGAAAGCAATGACGCAGAGAAGAAAAAGAAAACAAATGAGCATGTCATAAACCTCTACCGTTCATCGAGCTAAGAATAAAGAGTAAAAGAATGGAGAATTGAATAGCTGAGTCCACCACGCAGGAGGTGCGCGAAAAAAGTAGAAACGAACACGCTGAATTAAGTGAAAGGTTAAAGGAAGAGCAAGCGGTGGCGAGAAACAGGGAGAAACTTACGTTTTCACCACATCGCATGCAAAGACTTTCGAGGCTGTAGAGTGGGGCGTCACCATCATCAGCCGAAACGGCTTCCACCACCGTTCCTACATCCACGATTTGCTCGCTTTTCGCATTCTCTGCCATTACTCAATTCCACGATTCCTCTTCACTTTATTCTGAGAACCTTCAATTTCAACGAGAGTGACGAGAGTTCCTGAACCGCTGAGAAATCTGAATTTTATTTGCCTGTTTTGCGTTGAGGGAAGACACTGGAAGGACCTAGGGTACACGTCATCGGGTTAAGTTATTCGGGTCGGAATATTGTATGGATCCGTGGCCCAAGGATTTGTTGGATTCAAAAATTGAATTTACGCGGTTGAAGTTTAAACTGTTGGATGGCATAAATAGCCTGTTTAATTGATGAGCTATTCAATTAAATAAACTTCCATTTTACCTTGCACGTTAATTGATGAATGCTTATTTTTATTTAATAAAAAAATCTAATTATGCTTGGGACTAGTTTTAAATTTTTATTAGTTGAAAATTCTTTAATTTTATTAATAATGTTTAATAAATTTATTATTATTATATAATACTTTACTGAATATATTTTGAGACGTTGATTTATATAACAAGACAATTTTATATATATATATATATATATATAACAAGAGAATTTTTTTTTATATTGATGAATTTTATCATTTTTATCTTTTTTTACATAAGATATTGATTATAGATAATAAAAACAGTTTAAGAAAATTATGATCTTGAAGCTTTACATGATTTGAAGTCAAAATCAGAGATCAGAATATGTTGTTTTATAAAATTGCTAAAATGGCACTATCTGTCTGTCATATATTTTTTTAAATACTGTTTAAAAAGTTATCTAAAACATAATTCATTTTTTTTAGTTTTTTCTTATTTTATATTATTCTTATTTATATATGTTTTTTTATTAATTATGGTTTATTTTGGGTTTATGGATTACTCATTGAAAAGTTTAAATATTATTTTACTCAAATTTATTTTGGAAAATGTTTCAAAAAAAGGGAGTTGTAAAAACTATAGAAACTATGCATGCAGTAAGAATGATAAGAATTACGTATATTATGTGAAATGAATAAACGTATTTATACACGAGCATGTAAACAGAAAGAAAAAAACAGTTTTGACTTATTTCTAACACACCCCCTAAGTCAAACTGGTTTTACAACTTCAATAGATTGTCTCAGATACCTAAACTTCTCCCCTTTTAAGGCTTTGGTAAATATATCTGCCAACTGAACCTCAGATTTACAGTAAACGATTTCAAGCTTCTCTTGATTGACTTGTTCCCTCAAAAAATGGAACATAGTTTCAATGTGTTTGCTTCTACCATGAGCAGCAGGATGTTTTGCTAAGTCTATAGCAGATTTATTGTCCACCATTAATTTTGGACAGCTATTCATCTTCACCTTTAACTCTTCTAAGAGCATTGCTAACCATGCAGCTTGGCACGCAGCTTGAGAAGCAGAAATGTATTCTGCTTCACAAGAGGAAAGAGCTACAATAGGTTCTTTCACGGAATGCCATGAGACAAGTGACCCACAGAGGAAAAATATGTATCCAGCAGTGGACTTCCTATTAATTTGATCTCCGCACCAATCAGCATCTGCGTATCCCTTCAGTTCAACACTTCCTTCGCACCCTTTATTTGGAAACAGCAAGCCAAGGTTCTTTGTCCCTTGCACATAACGCATGATACGTTTTACAACATTCATGTGGGTTTGTTTAGGTTCCTGCATGAATCTACTCACTATTCCAACTCGCAAAACTTAGGTCGAGTCTTGTATAACACAAATACCTCAAGCACCCAACCATTTTCCTGAATTCTGATTCATCCACAGGTTCCTCATCTTCATTCTTTCCCAACTTCAACCCTGTTTCCATCGGTGTAGCTGCTATGTTGCAGTCTTAAAGCTTGAACCTGCTCAATAGGTCTTTTGCATACTTCGTCTGGTGCATTAACATTCCATGATCTGTCTGCATAAACTCAATTCCCAAAAAATAATTGAGTTCCCCCAAGTCACTCATTTCAAATTCAGTGGTCATCTGATGTTTGAACTGCTTGATATATTTCGCTTTACTTCCTGTGACAAGCATGTCATCCACGTAGAGGCATACGAGTAACTTTTTTTCTTGATCATTGTTGATCCAATACTTCACGTATAATCCTTGCTCTGTGGTGCATCTTTCAAAGCCAATCTGCTGCATAAACTGATCAATTCTTTTGTTCTAAGCACGTGGGGCTTGCTTCAAGCCATAAAGAGCTTTGATTAACTTGTAAACTTTCAGTTTATCATCCTTAACCTCAAATCCTGGCGGTTGAGTTACGTATACCTCCTCTTCAAGCAACCCATTTAGAAAAGTTGCTTTTACATCTAGCTGATGCATTCTCCACTTGTTTAATGTTGCAATAGCGATAATTACTCGGATTGAATCAAGCCTAGCAATGGGTGCATATATTTCTCCAAAATCAGTCCCAGCCTTTTGCAAATATCCTTTAGCCACTAACCTGGCTTTATGCCTTATCACTTCTCCCTTGGGATTGACTTTAACCTTGAATACCCACTTCAGTGCTATGGGCCTTTTATGCGGTGGTAGATTAACCAATCTCCACGTTCCATTACGTTCAATGGACTTTATCTCCTCACACATCGCTTTTCTCCATTTTTCATCACGCACAACATCCTCAAACTCCACGGGCTCCGCCTCTGCTGCCAATGCAAAATGCACTAGGTTTCCTTCTTCAGTAACAACACCAAACATTTCATAATCTCTGAAACGAGTTGGTTGTTGTCCTTGATGTTGGGATCTTCGAAGTTGCTGAACATCTTCTTCGGGTTCAATCTCACCAGAATATGCTGCATCATCTTCGGGTTCTAGCGCAATAACTGGGACCACCTCTGCTGCCTCATTCACCTTATTCGTCTCCCACTCCCAACTAGAGGCTTCATCAAAAACTACATTTCTGCTGATAGTTACACTCTTGGTTTTGGACTTTATCTCCTCACACATCGCTTTTCTCCATTTTTCATCACGCACAACATCCTCAAACTCCACGGGCTTCGCCTCTGCTGCCAATGCAAAATGCACTAGGTTTCCTTCTTCAGTAACAACACCAAACATTTCATAATCTCTGAAACGAGTTGGTTGTTGTCCTTGATGTTGGGATCTTCGAAGTTGCTGAACATCTTCTTCGGGTTCAATCTCACCAGAATCTGCTGCATCATCTTCGGGTTCTAGCGCAATAACTGGGACCACCTCTGCTGCCTCATTCACCTTATTCGTCTCCCACTCCCAACTAGAGGCTTCATCAAAAACTACATTTCTGCTGATAGTTACACTCTTGGTTTTGGGGTCAAACAGCTTATACCCTCAAGTAGTGTGATAACCAATCATCACCATGGGCTTTCCTTTGTCGTTTAATTTGGTTCGCTGCACTTCAGGCACTTTATGGAAACACAGGGAACCAAAAACTCTCAGATGCTTGACATCCGGCTTCTATTTTGACCAGGCTTCTTCTGGTGTAACTCCCTCCATCCTCTTCATAGGTGTGCAATTTAGAATATAGGTTGCTGTTGCAATTGCTTCTCCCCACATATACATAGGCACGTTTTTACTTTTGAGCATACATCGAGCCAAAGAAAGATACCAAGAAGGGTCACAAATCCAAGAAGAAGATTGATCCAGAGTCGAAAGATGGGAATGGGAGTAATGACAAGGTGTTTGGCAAAAAGCAAGTGAAATGTTATAACTGCCAGAAGTATGGCCACTTCGCACGTGACTGCTGGCATGGTGATGGAGCGAAAAATAAACCCAAGTCTCAGTCCCAGGCAAATCTCGCACTAGAAAAGTCGTCCGATTTTGAAGTTGTCTTACTCATGGTTCAGACCAAGAATGAAGACAATGATGATGACGCATGGTATCTTGATTCCGGGTGTTCTACCCATATGACTGGCCAGAGGGAGTGGTTTGTGAAATTGAGTAATGAGACTCAAGAACGGGTGCGATTTGCAGATGACAGTTGTTTGCATGCAGAAGGGAATGGACGGGTCGTGCTAAGAAGCTTCGAAGGAGAAGAAGTTATAGTCGATGACGTCCTGTATGTCCTTGGGTTACGAACCAATTTGCTGAGTCTTGGCCAATTAATGCAGAAAGGGTTCAAGATGGTTCTGGAGGAGAATTCCCTACGGGTCTATGATCAAACAAAAAAGCTTGTCATTTGTGTTGCACTATCATCCAATCGTACGTTTAAGGTAAAAATAACTACGTTAAACCATAAGTGTTTTGCAGCTGCAGTGAACAGAGAAGAGTGGTTGTGGCACCTACGCTTTGGTCACTTGAACTTCAGAAATTTGAGTGAACTGAGCGTTAAAGGAATGGTTGAAGGGATGCCTCGTGTGTCTGTGCCAGAAGAAGCGTGTCATGACTGTGTGCAATGCAAGCAAACAAAGAGCAAGTTCAGCAAATTCGTTGCCACCAAAACAACGAAGGAGTTAGAACTGGTATATTCTGATCTTTGCGGACCATTGCCTGTGAAAACACCTGGGGGCAGTCGGTACTTTGTGACCTTCACGGACGACTACACCAGGAAGTTGTGGACGTTTTGCCTAAAGCGAAAAAACGAGGTCTTTGACACATTTAGGAGGTTCAAGACTCTCGCTGAAAAACAGAGTGGTTGCATGATAAAGCGACTACGGTCTGATGGAGGAGGTGAGTATAACTCACTGGAGTTTGAAAACTTCCTGGCTGAAATGGGAATCACACACGAGGTTACACCGCCTCACACACCGCAACATAACGGAACCGCTGAGAGGAGAAATAGAACTCTCCTCAACATGGCTCTGATACCATATAGAAACTATGCATGCATGCAGAAGAATGATAGGAATTACGTATATTATGTGAAATGAATAAACGTATTTATATACAGTACAGAAACAGAAAGAAAAAAACAGTTTTGACTTATTTCTAACAAAAACTTATAAATATTTTTAATTGGATTAGTATAGATTTATTAAAAATTCATGATCTAATCCTCTAAAGAACTTATAAAAGTTTTTTTTAAGTAGACTAAATTTTTAGGATTTTCAAAAGTA